ATAATAATTTAATCGTATTGCTGTCTAGCAGTAACAACTGAGATCATTTGTAAAAAAAGAAAGAAAGAAAGATTTTAACTCTTTTACTGCTATATTTTTAACTCTGTATGTTGACTTTTGAAATGAATAAGTTATAAAACACTGCAGTCAAATATATGAGATAGATAAGGACCTCCAGCTGCACTAGAATGGGCTTTTGGAAATGAATCATTTTAGTTGTGTGACGTAGGAAAGGCTCAGCTCCAAAGAACCTCATGAAGAACATATTCATATAATCCTGTGAGTCACGACTCTGAGCATGTAAACAACTGCTTACCTCATGACTTCTGACAACTTGCCAACAGTGGCCCCAAAAAGTCTTTGGATACTTAAACCACATGTAAAAATGGCTGAATGTCTCTGCGTCAGAGATGCAAAATGATGAAAACATAATGGTTGTTTCTGCAAAACATTGACTTTGAAAGTGTTCTTGTGCTATTTTCCTTAAATATTAATGCCACTTGCTTGGATATTTTGTTATACTGTATAATACAGTGACATTCAGATATTTTAAGTGGATCTTAAACATCAAAATACTTTTTGGAACCACTGAACCATTTTAATAATCATATATACATGAAAACATGGTTTAATTTAATTGGCTATAGGCTACTATACAGTATATCTTCATGCAAAGAATATTCTGGTCAGAGTATGTCACGCTCCTGGATGTTGGAATAAAAATACACTCATGATTTTTATTTACATGAAATTTGGTCGATAAAATGCAAAACAGAGCAGCCACTCTGACGCCTGTCACGTACAGTGGATCCTATCTGAAACCCCTTCATCACACTGACATCGGAAAGACGTAAATACGTTATAGAATAAGAGATGTCTAGAGAAAAACTGAAAGGATTTCAGAAGAGGAAACGGAGAGGCAAAGAAATGCAACACGTGACAAGAATGGAGATGATGTCCAAAAGGACACATAGTGATTGTATTTTAATCATGTGTGTCACACATTCAGGGCATTCCTGTGTGAAATGGGTGTGTCTTTGACATCACAAGCCTCTAGGGTTTCCTGTCTTCTGATTGGCTACAGCACACGCCACCATTACGCCACTCTTCTATAGCAAGATATGTTCCACTGACTCACCGCCATATGCTAATGTACATGTTTATGCTAATTACTCATGCAATCTTCCTACCAACACAACAGCATGTACTTACATTTCATTTGCATGGAATATCATTGGTTGGAAGTAGCGTTCAACCAATTGGATCATTTGACAGGCCACAAAATCAAATAATAATATGACAATATTCAAATCATAGGAAGGACAGACATTATAATGATGGGTTGTATATACACAAGGAATATATACAAACCTATAAAGCAAACGTATTAAAAATATCTAATATTCTAATGTTTTTGTCTGTAACCATGAATAGTAATGATTAATCATGAGATTAAAAAACATTGAATGGGAAGAGGACTCAACTGTGGGCTGTGACCACTCACGGTTGCCATGCCGACACTAATTGTGCATGCTAGCATAAAGCCCATTGTAAATAGCTGGAGAGGATGTTAGCGTGAGGGTTAGTTAATTGCTGTGGACAGCTATCATCGCACATTAGAGCAACCAAGAGGCCTTTTTGTGCACAAACTGCACAGAAAGGCAATATTTCCATTTTAGGTCAAGGACCTTTGCTTTCAAAGTAATATCAAATTTGATCTGTTAACTAAATAAATAAATACACTCTTTGGCTTTAAAAGTTGACATTCTTAAACAGAATTTTAGGGCATCAAAGACGTGCCTCCTGATGCAAAGACTTCAGACTCAAAGATAAACCTCATTCTGGCCAAAATCTATAGCAGAAACGCATGCATGCTTCAAGAAGAAAGCAAACCCAGTATGCACAGGAAAAAAATCTATTAACAATAAACGATTATAAGTACATAATTCAATACTAGAAAGTATAGTAGTTTAATCTGAATACAAATGGACCCAATATTTATGGACCCCCTCATTCTGGCCAAAATCTATAGCAGAAACGCATGCATGCTTCAAGAAGAAAGCAAACCCAGTATGCACAGGAAAAAATCTATTAACAATAAACGATTATAAGTACATATTTCAATACTAGAAAGTATAGTAGTTTAATTTGAATACAAATGGACCCAATATTTATGGACCCCATGTATTTTTAGACTTACTAGAGTATTGCTTAGCAAGCTACTAACATAAAAATCTAATGCAAATCAACTGTGAGGCCTATTTGTGAGCTGCTGCCTAAAGCATTCCAAATCAGCCACTTTTGCCTATATAGGCTGCAAATGGCAAGGCAGCTCACTGCTGTGGAACAGAGCTATAGAGGCAGAAACACACTCCATGATTCATACTCTCGCACACACACAAAGACACTGAAATTATCTCTTTTTCTGCCCAGCAGGGAAACCCACTTATTCATCCCCATGGCAACCACAAGAATGGAAAAAGATGCCCATGATGTCAAAAAGAGAAATGGCCTGTCAAGAGTCAGCCATTTTCTTGTACCGAGTGCAGCACAGGATTCAGTGTTACTTTGTCTCACATAGACAGGTTAATCTTGCCAAACACATAGCTAATCGGCATACATGCATGATTACAACACATTTGAGCTTGTGTCAATGATTATACATACACCTCATACTGTACACATAAACAGTGCTGATTCACGGTTTTAAGTCAACATGAAAGACAAAATGCAACCCATTTTACTTCTGTAATATGACAGATTTCTGAGTGAAATTGAATATTAAATAAGAAAAAAAATCATCAGAAACTGATTAGATATAGAGGGGAGAGGCTGAAAAGGGAGGGATTTATGACATTTTAAAAAAAGCTGTGGTGAGGCAAATTATATATATATATATATATATTTTATTGCACTGATGAATAACATATAATAAGGGACAGGGACATTCATATCAGACACATTTAGCATTAAAAAAGCATCTAGACAAACTGCGAAGGAACTGAACAATATGAGCACAATATGGCATTATATAAAATTATATTAACTCCCATGTATCGTTGCTAATATAAACACACAACAGAGTTCTGTAGCGATGACGCATTAGGTCAACCCATAAGTTAGCATTACGCTGGTTCCCTTGACAAAAAGCCAGTAAATAAAAAATGTATTCGAGTAGTGAACACACACCTGGAGAAGCCCGGGGGGTTTGGTGACTTGCTCAAGGGTCTCACCTCAGTCGTGGTATTGAGGGTGGAAGAGAGTGCTGTACATTCACTCCCCACACCGACAATCCCTGTCGGTACTGAGACTCGAACTCACGACCTTTGCACAGATACTAAAATGGAGTCAGATTGAGTTAAACCTAAATTGAATAACTCTGCGCGCTGAAAAGACCGAACACGCAAGAGACCTTCATCCGCCACTGGGTACCTTCCTTGGGCCAGGTGCGCGGACCTTACACCATGTATTTTTAGACTTACTAGAGTATTGCTTAGCAAGCTACTAACATAAAAATCTAATGCAAATCAACTGTGAGGCCTATTTGTGAGCTGCTGCCTAAAGCGTTCCAAATCAGCCACTTTTGCCTATATAGGCTGCAAATGGCAAGGCAGCTCACTGCTGTGGAACAGAGCTATAGAGGCAGAAACACACTCCATGATTCATGCTCTCGCACACACACAAAGACACTGAAATTATCTCTTTTTCTGCCCAGCAGGGAAACCCACTTATTCATCCCCATGGCAACCACAAGAATGGAAAAAGATGCCCATGATGTCAAAAAGAGAAATGGCCTGTCAAGAGTCAGCCATTTTCTTGTACCGAGTGCAGCACAGGATTCAGTGTTACTTTGTCTCACATAGACAGGTTAATCTTGCCAAACACATAGCTAATCGGCATACATGCATGATTACAACACATTTGAGCTTGTGTCAATGATTATACATACACCTCATACTGTACACATAAACAGTGCTGATTCACGGTTTTAAGTCAACATGAAAGACAAAATGCAACCCATTTTACTTCTGTAATATGACAGATTTCTGAGTGAAATTGAATATTAAATAAGAAAAAAAATCATCAGAAACTGATTAGATATAGAGGGGAGAGGCTGAAAAGGGAGGGATTTATGACATTTAAAAAAAAGCTGTGGTGAGGCAAATATTTATTTTTTTTTTGCACTGATGAATAACATATAATAATGGACAGGGACATTCATATCAGACACATTTAGCATTAAAAAAGCATCTAGACAAACTGCGAAGGAACTGAACAATATGAGCACAATATGGCATAATATAAAATTATATTAACTCCCATGTATCGTTGCTAATATAAACACACAACAGAGTTCTGTAGCGATGACGCATTAGGTCAACCCATAAGTTAGCATTACGCTGGTTCCCTTGACAAAAAGCCAGTAAATAACAAATGTATTTGAGTAGTGAACACACACCTGGAGAAGCCCGGGGGGTTTGGTGACTTGCTCAAGGGTCTCACCTCAGTCTTGGTATTGAGGGTGGAAGAGAGTGCTGTACATTCACTCCCCACACCGACAATCCCTGTCGGTACTGAGACTCGAACTCACGACCTTTGCGTGACAGAACTTCCACAGCACAAACAGAATGACAGTTACAAAAAAATAGGAAATAACAATATACAAAACATATTTTAAAAAATACACAATATACAAAATAGACATTATTACTGTTTTTACTGTATTTTACCAAACAAATGCAGATTTGGTGAGCAGGAGACAAAAACAAAAATATTTACATAAAAATTACAAAAACGTATATTTACATGTACATTTTTAAATATTGTGGACTTGCGAGGCCTGTTCAACTGCAAGAATATTCATTTAAAATAAATAGAATTCACCAATACTCAAGAGTTTAAAAGAGCGACAAGCCACTAATTATTTGGCACACTTAACAAGTATGATGCCATGATCAAAAATGACAATTTCCCAAGCAACACCACCCAGATGATTACTATTTGGATTTTCAAGACCTTTATTGAATTTCTAAATTTGTGTAATATTAATCTCAACAGATGAGAGACAGTAAAAAACAAAAGGAAAAACAACAATGAGTGCTAGCTGAAGCCCTGAATGGGTAAATCTGAAGCATGGCATCTAAAACAGCACTTTACATTAAGAGATGTTTCCGTTGCTGTGATAAAGAAAATACGATTTAAAAAAAATTCAATCAAAACTAATCCTTCTTAAATGAAAACCCTCCCGATCTAAATGCCTCTGTAACCACTCAAAGCAACTTTACAGCAACGTATAATGAGAAACAAGGATAACACACTTATTATCTTATGTTACGTTTGTGCAAGCGACAAAAGCTATGGAATAATCTAGCAGGTGGAAAACTAATTTTCCTTAATGGAAAAAAAAAACAGCATTGACCTCCGACCAATACTTATAAGTGAACTTATTAAGGTTTTGACAGTGCCTGAATTTTTAGTCATAAGTCTCAAACATTTCTACAATGGAGTAATGCATTTAACAAATGCTGTCAGATCTGATAATCAGCTGAAAACACAATCGTTGCAGATTCTGCAGACTGTCAGCACACAAGGAAAAAGATGTCATTAGTTATAGAAGCGCTAACGGTTTAAGCTGAATAGATTGACAATGACACATTTATAGAGTTGCAGATGAGATCTTAAATCATACCAACAACCATAAGTGTGTGTTTGGCAAATAAATAAACATCAAGGCATCCAGTATGTTTTGTTCAAAGAAAAAAAATGCCTTTTTCAGTTTAGGGGAAAAGTGTGGCATTAAGCTTTTGACACAGGAAGTAGTCCGAGAAAGCATTTTTCAGGTTTCTTGATTTTAGGGAACATCTACTATACAAAAATAAGGCCACAGTTATTTGCCCTTAAGAACCGTTCTCGCTTTTCAATTGTTTGCAAGCTGGCTCTTCATTATCTTGCCCATTTGACTCAAGAGGTCTCTTCTTTGGACTGGCTTGTTCTGTAGAAGAAGAGAATACATTACTGTTTGTTTGTTTATATATATACACAATATTATATTTTATATTTTAAAAAGTTGAAGATATATCTTTGATTTCTATATAATAATAAAATTGAATGAGCTTCACTTTGCTGGAAAAAAAGCTGCAATATTCTGATAGTTATTGTAATTTATACCAATAATGCGTTTTGCCAGACTATGCCTTAAGTATTTAATATAACACATCTAAATGTTTTTTTCAAAATGACCAGGCATGAAAACTTGGTGGTAAAGAAAAATGTAATGAAAATACATATTTAAAACTACTATATTATATTCAAAACTTCATGCTTAATTCATTGTGATCGTAATTCAACTATTTGTGAATTTTACTAGCAACTTCAGAGTGAAACTTGTTTCTACACCATGTTGTCAGTGGATTTGTCATCAATCAAGGGGAAAAGAATGGCCCTTTTACCTTCATCTCCCTCTTCATCGCTTTCAAACTTGGTCTTCTTTCCCCTGAACTGGGTCGGTTCTCTTCCTCCTCGGTCTCTGCGTCCTCCCCTGCCTCTTCCACGACCCCTGTGACCTCCTGCAATCACAGGACACGGCGTGGCACAATGTGTTCAATTGTGAGATTCCGTGGGTTCAGACACCTGCATGTGTTTACCGTGTCTTCTGGATTACCTCTGCCTCCTTTACGTTTGTTCATGGACTCCTGCTGATCCTCGATGATTTTCTTCAGAGTCTCCATTTCTGCGTCTCCCTCCAGTACCTCCCACTGAACAACCTGCTCTTTAACCTTGGGATCCTCTCCTCCGAGAGCCTCACGGACCTTCTGCAGGGCCTCCTGGGCATTTGAGTGGAACAGGATTGTGCCCTGAGGAGGACATCAAAGACAGAAGTTAATGGAGGAAGACATCTTCAAGGAATAATTCATACTGCCAAAGGAGGTTGGTAGTTTTTTTTTTTTTTTTAGAAAGCATGTCAGTAGAAACATTTATAATTGTTACAGAAGATTCAATAAATGTTGTTCTTTTGAACTTTTTATTAATCAAAGAATCCTGAACAAATGTCTCAGTTTCAGCACAACACAAAATGTTTTCAACACTGATAATGATCAGAAATGTTTCTTGAGCAGCAAATCAGCATATTAGAATGATTTCTGAAGATCATGTGACACTGAAGACTGGAGTAATGATGCTGAAAATTCAGCTTTGATCACAGACATAAATTACATCTTAAAATATATTCAAATAGAAAAAGAGTTATTCAAAATAGTAACATCAGAAACAGAATCAGAATCAGAATGAGCTTTATTGCCAGGTATGTTTACACATACGAGGAATTTGTTTTGGTGACAGAACTTCCACAGCACAAACAGAATGACAGTTACAAAAAAATAGGAAATAACAATATACAAAACATATTTTAAAAAATACACAATATACAAAATAGACATTATTACTGTTTTTACTGTATTTTACCAAACAAATGCAGATTTGGAATGTTTTCAACACTGATAATGATCAGAAATGTTTCTTGAGCAGCAAATCAGCATATTAGAATGATTTCTGAAGATCATGTGACACTGAAGACTGGAGTAATGATGCTGAAAATTCAGCTTTGATCACAGACATAAATTACATCTTAAAATATATTCAAATAGAAAAAGAGTTATTCAAAATAGTAACATCAGAAACAGAATCAGAATCAGAATGAGCTTTATTGCCAGGTATGTTTACACATACGAGGAATTTGTTTTGGTGACAGAACTTCCACAGCACAAACAGAATGACAGTTACAAAAAAATAGGAAATAACAATATACAAAACATATTTTAAAAAATACACAATATACAAAATAGACATTATTACTGTTTTTACTGTATTTTACCAAACAAATGCAGATTTGGTGAGCAGGAGACAAAAACAAAAATATTTACATAAAAATTACAAAACCGTATATTTACATGTACATTTTTAAATATATATATGTATATAATTCGTTTAAAATATGATTGTGTGCGCACATGTGTATACCTCATTAAATTAAAACATTAAAATTATACAACACCAGCTAAACAACAATTAACAAACATTCAATAAATAATCTTGAAAATAATGCTGAATGTGACAAATATTTGTGAAACATGTTAATTTCTCACCTCTTTAGCTCCTCTGGTGAAATCAATCCATTTGATCCGAGCATGATCTGAGAAGACCGCATGGAAATCCTCTCTGGAGGTCTGCCCCAATTCACCGGAGAACTTCAGCAGGCAGCCTCTCTGATCATTCAGGGATTTCTGGGTAAACAGAAGAGCCATATATTATTAACAGTCACATCGGAGAACTTGTTTTGTTTGCGTTTCTGCATGAAAACTCACCAGCTCTTCTTCTTCAGCTTGTTTCTGCTTGCCCTCCTTTTCGCTGAAACGCACATTTACCAATTATAACATCTTTTATCTCACTTTTTTGTAGAAAACGGTGTTGTGAATTACCCTTTTGCTTTAGCTTTTGCTTCCACACGATTCTGCTTCCTCTCAGCAAACTTTTTAGAAAAGTAGGCCTCTCTACAGACAAGAGGTTAAAGGTTAACACAGCTCTCACACCAGTATATTCAAAGCCATTCAGGTTCTAGGAAAACAACATGCAATGCTCGGAGACAAATGAGGAACTGAACTGCAGAAGCACCTACTTCATCATGACGATCATCTCGTTCCCTTTGTACTCTTTGACATCAGTGCGCTCCACTAAAGCCTTGGCAGCTTCTTCAGACTCTAAGACCACAAAGATCGATCCCTGCACACAACAATAGCAATGGAAACAGAATAAATTGATTAGGTAGACACAAAATTTCTATTTTACTCAAAGTAAAATAGATTTACAATCCTAAGTACAGTTTTCAAGTACTGTAATCTTGTCTGTCCCATTGTTTTAAAAAAAAAAAATATATATAAATTTCTTCATTTGTTTTCATTTATTGAAATCAAGCGGAAATCAAATAAAATATAAATTTTTAATGAAAAACCAACTTGAACAAAAAAAGTTGCCTTGGCAAATACCTGAAATAAAATAAGTTTGAAGTACAATGGGAGGAAAAAAACCCCAACTTGATGCAGAAACCATTTTTACTCAGAATAACTGCTAATAAATGTCACAATTAACTACAAAGAACTGGCGATATATTAAACATGAAATTTTGAAGACTGAAATACGATTTTCTTGTAAAACGTATTCCAATTATCTGTTTCATTGACTTTTTTTTTTACAGTGTACCTAATTTATAAAATATTAAATTAACGATAAATAGAAAAATTACAAAAAGGAACAAACTTGCTAAATCTAAAATTATAATAATTTTAGTAACGTTCAAAATATTAATAAATATGATAATATATAAATATTACTAAAATAACACTGGTCTGACCACAGAAAAAAAAAAAATCCTGCATTTTTCTTTTTGAAAGATATTTGTCCAAATGGTTTCCTTATTGTGTCACTTTAAAGTGCCCCATTATGGATTTTTGAAAACATCCCTTTCATGCAGTGTGCAACACAGCTCTAAGTGAATGAAAACATCCTGCAAAGTTTTAAATCTGAAAGTGCACCGTGTATAGTTATTGTCTCTCAAAAGAAAGAGTCGACTCTGAATCACTGAAACGAGTCATTTTTAAAACGAATCCCAAGCCGTTTCATGTTGACATCAACATGAAACATCAACATATTACCCGCCCACTTGTTAGGCTTTTCCTTGGTCTGAATGAAAACGCAAATTCATTCATTCATTCGCTGTTGGGAGCGTAAAATAGCGTTTTCCCCGGTAACGCTGTACACAAAGCAGCACTGTGCTCACAAACGCTGCTTTATCAGGCATTACGCGGACCAATCACCGCAGATTAGCGTCACGCAAAGGACGTGTTTGAAAAAATTAATAGTTGAGTGAATCGTTTGGGAGTTGTTGAGCAAACAAGGTAAAAATAAATGCATATTATAAAACAATGAAAGTGTTTTTTTGAACTTGCATGCATGTCAACCTGTTGTTGGGGACTCCCAAAACCAAAATATGAACCTTTCATTACCCATAACAGGGGCACTTTAAGAGCTCTTACACTTTAAAAGCCTTACTTTGAAAGTCTTCTGGGCTCCTTTCCTCATGTAGATGTTCTCGACTGTGCCTTTATCTGCAAACCACTCTTTAATCTCATCCAGCGTGGTTTCAAGAGGAAAACCTTTCTGTCGAATTTAAACATTAACATCAGTCAACCAACAGAAACAAAAGAGATGGAAAAACAACAGTATCAAATAATACAAACATGACATGTTAAAATGCAGTTTGTTTTAGAGCAAATGAGGCCGAAAGAGGAACTTCATGTCATTGTTCCCATTCGCTCACCATGTAGACGGATTTGTGTTTGAGCACATCCCTGTATTCCTCATTGTCCTCTGGAAGAGGTTTGTTCGGATTTCGTCTTATTTTGGTTTTGTCCTCGCTGATCTCCAGCAGACCCGTTTTAGATTTTTGCAGCGACTCCACAATAGCAGCTGCATCTGACGTGAGACTCTTTAGTCTGTGAGGACCAATACATAAATGAGACAAACAAAACAGCAGCAAAAACCCTGATGCCCAACGCCATGTGAGCTGACATGTGTCGAGTGTTATTTTTAAGGGTGCACCGATATGAAAATTTTGGCCGATACGATATATATTTTTTTTTTTTTTTTTTTTTTTTTTTTTTTTTTGAAGTCTGTAAGCACTTAAACTGTTTCTGTTTTGCACTTTCTATAAAAGTAACATCACAAACCTGTATTATAAGCATAACAATTCAAATAAAAGACTATGATGACAAATCTCGGTGAAGCGAGTGATTCTCAAACCACGTGTGAGTAGCATTACGTTCCAGCAGAACTACTGCATGCCGCTTCTGTTTTAAACTGAGTGCTGACTGTTGAAGTGAATACATCCAGTGTTAAATAGCACTAAAAATAACCTGTCTGTAGGCTATAAATTCAGTCAATAGTTGTTATGAATCTTTATAAATCACGTACGCCACGCGCGCCACATGTCGCAGAATGACACTGAACAAACATCGCGCGCCCAATCCGTCATTGCTGTTTTTCTGTCCAGTCTGAAGCATTGCGACACTGTAAACATCATGGGAAAACAAGCAATGTTGCAAAAACACCATACTCACTTTATCTGCGCTCTGATCCGTCGAATCTCAATCGAACGCCACACTAAACGCTCTCCGAACGTGAATCAAGGGGGTGGCGTCGCGTTGTTATGACGTCACGCAGAGACCGCGGGGAGCATCATGGGAAAGTGAGTTCAACACGGAACACACTCATTTCCTGACTCTTGTATTTTTATATAAACTTCGAGCTTTTTTTTTTTTTTAAATAATTTAAAATGACTTCTTCAGTTTTACCATGCTCCTATGTGCTACACTCTAAAAAATGCGACTGCTCTCCGATGTAGGTCAAGACTCGAGCCATATACTCGGTCCAGCGGCCTCTCTGGTACGACTTCTTCAGCCAGTCCGGTAGCGTCTGCTCGGGAGCGGAGCGGAGCACCCATGTGTCGCTGTTGTCATCCACTATAGTGTGATCGAAGTCGAACACTACTAAGGTCTTCATTCTGCGCTAAAAACACAGTATTGACATAATGACCGACAAACAGATGTTCAATATCCAACATATATGTATCAGAAAGTCAAGTAACGAGATGCACGTAAGCAAATCAAATATATACTGACCTGAAGCTGCAGCTTGACTGAATTATTCGATTTCGTTAGCGATTCTGAGATCGACACTAACTTGCTTACAACACAAAGCATGATTAGTCACCGCCCCTCAAGCGATGGCTCGTCTCTGATAGGCCGTAGCTCACGTCACTCAAATGTCTTGGGACGCTCCGATTGGTCACTCGAATCGTAAGCACTTGGGTCGTTCTTGCTTTGTTTCATTCAAAAAAGTGAATTCCGAATGAGAACGGAATTGTCTTAAAATATAGACACTGCTAGTAAAATATTTTAGAATAGTAGTCAAAGTTATTAATAATAATAATAAAAAAAAAATATATATATATAGTTATAAAAAATAACGCACACTGAGACATCAATAAAATGTCTCAAGCATGAATACAGAGGGGGAAAAAAATATATCACCATAACTGATTAATCAGTACATTAAGGCAATTGTTTTATTACATGTAGGGCTGAAACTATTAGTAGACATTATCGACAATAAAAAAAAAATTGTCGACAAATATTTTTGTTGTCGAATAGTGGTTTGATCTCATATGACTTAAAGGGGTCCTATTATGCTTTTTCACTTTTTCAACTTTAGATAGTCTGTAATGTTGCTGTTTGAGCATAAAAAAAGATCTGCAAAGTTACAAAGTCCACTTCAAAAAGGAGATATTTTATTTAACAGAAATCACTTTTCAAAAACTACAACGAACGACTCGTTTGGACTACAACGCATATTTTCCGGGATTTGTGATATCACGAATACCGACGTGACCTGGTTGAGCTGCACTAGAGAAGGCAACGAGTGTTATCACGGTTAGTCGGAGACACGCTAGCTTTCCCAAGGCAGACAAACTTAGAGTGGTTACAATCATCCGGGTTTAAATCGCACTCAAATTGATTTGATTTTGACGCAATATTTACACTGAAGCTGCAGCAGGTAAGGGGCGTGACAATCACAGCACATTTCGTATTTCAGAAGGCGGGCCTTCATTTGATACACTACAATGTACGTTTTTTATATTTAAAGAGTTTTTATATTTTATATATTTAAAGCAAGTTTTTTTGGTCAGTGTAGAGTAGCGCTTGTAGTTTGTCATTTCTCCGATCACAAATGCAGACATGGTTTTATGTTTACCCGGCGCGATGCAACGCAACGCGTAAAAAGACAGTATAAGTCATTATAATCCACAATTATGTCCCCACTGGATGCAACGAATGCCTCGTTTATAATGGGTTTTCATGTTTTTGTCTCGTCGCTCCGGCCGTATCACAGTATGGCGAGGGGCGTAACATTTCCATCACACGCTTGAGGTATTCAGCCAATCATAACACACTGGATAGCTGGCCAATCACAGCACACCTCGCTTTTCAGACCAACAAGCTTTGTAAAAATCGAAGCGTTTCAGAAAGGCGGGGCATAGAGGAGAAACAATAATGTACAGTATGTGGAAAATAATGTGTCTTTAACTTTAAACCACAAACACATTTCATTACACCAAATAATGTTCTTTTTATCAACATCCTATGACCCCTTTAATGGAAGAGCCTGCAATAACGCGGTTTGACCAGTGTGGCGCTGTAGCGCAAGACTGTAATTTAGCTCTCCCGGATGCAATTCCAGAAAAGACAGACAGACTCAACGAATGTGTAAAAATGTGCTGCACACTTTCCTCTCAATAACAAAATAAACACACAAAAAATGACAGCATTGAGAAAACAGCAGTTAAGAAAGCATCTTATCATAGCGATGTGGATAAGTTTGCACCAGCTCTGCAATCGGCACTTTTTTTACTGTAATACAATTTACAGTATTAAACAACAACAACAAAAAAAGTCTCACAGTGTCAGTCTGGCTTTCGCTTAGAATTACAACTTGATTTTCTGCTATAAATCATCTCTCCAGTGTGGAGCTAGCTAATGATAGAATATTTTTATTAGTGAATGCATAAATAAATACAAATAAATAAAAATCATTATATTAAAGTGATAGTTTGGTTTTTGCATAGATTAAAGCTTGATCTAGCTCAGGACTGTTTTGATTACTATGACACTATAAGGTGTTTTAAGAGAGCTAATGTTGTGAATAATGTATCGAAAAAATGTCTTTGCACTTTTTGTTCCATATACAGTGGGTACGGAAAGTATTCAGACCCCCTTAAATTTTTCACTCTTTGTTATATTGCAGCCATTTGCTAAAATCATTTAAGTTCATTTTTTTTCCTCTTTAATGTACACACAGCACCCCATATTGACAGAAAAACACAGAATTGTTGACATTTTTGCAGATTTATTAAAAAAGAAAAACTGAAATATCACATGGTCCTAAGTATTCAGACCCTTTGCTCAGTATTTAGTAGAAGCACCCTTTTGATCTAATACAGCCATGAGTCTTTTTGGGAAAGAGGCAACAAGTTTTTCACACCTGGATTTGAGGATCATCTGCCACTCCTCCTTGCAGATCCTCTCCAGTTCGGTCAGGTTGGATGGTAAACTTGGTTGGACAGCCATTTTTAGGTCTCTCCAGAGATGCTCAATTGGGTTTAAGTCAGGGCTCTGGCTGGACTATTCAAGAACAGTCACAGAGTTGTTGTGAAGCCACTCCTTCGTTATTTTAGCTGTGTGCTTAGGGTCATTGTCTTGTTGGAAGATAAACCTTCGGCCCAGTCTGAGGTCCTGAGCACTCTGGAGAAAGTTTTCGTCCAGGATAACCCTGTACTTGGCCGCATTCATCTTTCCCTCAATTCCAACCAGTCGTCCTGTCCCTGCAGCTGAAAAACACCCCCACAGCATGATGCTGCCACCACCATGCTTCAATGTTGGGACTGTATTGGACAGGTGATGAGCAGTGCCTGGTTTTCTCCACACATACTTCCCTTAACCAGGAAATTAACGTTCTTAGAATTGACAAGACAGTTGACCCTGAGTGGTCAGCTAAATATCTACAGTGGATCTAAAATATGAATAGTTAATTATAACTAGTTATGGTTAATTATTCATATTTCCCCATGAGCTGATTCGCTACATAATCCACAATTATGTCCCCACTGGATGCAACGAATGCCTCGTTTATAATGGGTTTTCATGTTTTTGTCTCGTCGCTCCGGCCGTATCACAGTATGGTGAGGGGCGTAACATTTCCATCACACGCTTGAGGTATTCAGCCAATCATAACACACTGGATAGCTGGCCAATCACAGCACACCTCGCTTTTCAGACCAACAAGCTTTGTAAAAATCGAAGCGTTTCAGAAAGGCGGGGCATAGAGGAGAAACAATAATGTACAGTATGTGGAAAATAATGTGTCTTTAACTTTAAACCACAAACACATTTCATTACACCAAATAATGTTCTTTTTAGCAACATCCTATGACCCCTTTAATGGTAGAGCCTGCAATAACGCGGTTTGACCAGTGTGGCGCTGTAGCGCAAGACTGTAATTTAGCTCTCCCGGATGCAATTCCAGAAAAGACAGACAGACTCAACGAATGTGTAAAAATGTGCTGCACACTTTCCTCTCAATAACAAAATAAACACACAAAAAATGACAGCATTGAGAAAACAGCAGTTAAGAAAGCATCTTATCATAGCGATGTGGATAAGTTTGCACCAGCTCTGCAATCGGCACTTTTTTTACTGTAATACAATTTACAGTATTAAACAACAACAACAAAAAAAGTCTCACAGTGTCAGTCTGGCTTTCGGTTAGAATTACAACTTGATTTTCTGCTATAAATCATCTCTCCAGTGTGGAGCTAGCTAATGATAGAATATTTTTATTAGTGAATGCATAAATAAATACAAATAAATAAAAATCATTATATTAAAGTGATAGTTTGGTTTTTGCATAGATTAAAGCTTGATCTAGCTCAGGACTGTTTTGATTA